CCTGTGCCGGGGACGCGTTAGTCCGTGGACCACCGCAGACCAAAGCCGATCGACAATATAATTACGCTCTTGTTTCACGAGGGAAACAATTACGGAAGCGACAATCACGACCAAGCGAGATTGTGGCTCTTCTCGAGATTAAAACCAAGTTTAATCCGGAGGAAAGAAGGGAAAAGAATCACAAACCTTTCGAAGGGGCTTTCTTTATGAAAGTGTTCGCCAAGCTCTGATGATTCTCCTCTGAAATTCGTGGTTGACTGGTCAATTTGACAGCACCTCGCCTTCTTAATCTCAGATCTCTGATCCCCTTGAAAGAAGACCTTAGGCTTCTATTTATAGGCTTTTTGAGATGTGTCTCCTAGTAGGAATTGATGTTTAAACGTTATCTGCGGTTTATAACTGTCTAAACGTGTTTATAGATAACCTCAGAGCAGTTGGAGAGGTTTTGGGACGAAAGAATTCTTAAAAATCATCGAAATCCGTGTTTGGGGAGGTTTTGTATCCAACAAGAGTCCTGGTGACTCGGGACTGTGCGAGTCAGCTTCTGGTGACTCGGAAATGTGTGAGTCAGCTTCTGGTGACTCGGAACTGTGCGAGTCAGCTTCTGGTGACTCGGAACTGTGCGAGTCAGCTTCTGGTGACTCGGAACTGTGCGAGTCAGCTTCTGGTGACTCGGGACTGTGCGAGTCAGCTTCTGGTGACTCGGAACTATGCGAGTCAGCATTTGGTGACTCGGAACTGTGCGAGTCAGCATTTGGTGACTTGGCACTGTTCGAGCTTCCAAGCAATGTTTCGTGATTCTTCCAGCTTCTTTGTTTTGCGTACGCTTCGTCGCCTTGCTGATTTTGGATGAATTCCTTTGACTTGGATAATAACGTTTATCGTCTTTTCCTTGTCTTGCACTGTGTTTGAGGACATATGGGCAATTTTTTAATGCCTACAGTTTACAATCACACAAATTAAACCCTCACACAAACTCTCAAATCTCACACAAACGGATGCTAAAAAACTCTCTCAAATCCAAGACCAAAGACGGCATTCACAGAAGCCTTGACGCCCCTTGCACACGCGTTCTCTCCTGCTACCTCACACGAAGCCAATGAAGAGAGACAGCCGCAGTTCCCATCTTCACTTGCACGCCGCCCTTGCTCTGCCAAGTTTTCTCATTGCACAGCAGCAAAAATCAACTGTAGTTTTTTCTTTGCCATTCACCTGCTCATCGAAACCCTAGGAATCGTGTTATTATTTATAGGACCGCAACAGTAATCGGGTAGTCCTGCTAAAGTCCGCTTTGTCTCCAGCTCATTCACATGGTGGCCCCCCTTCTCCTTTGCTTTGCTCTCCGCTTCATTCACGTGGTGGCTCCACGTTCACAATTCTCCACCTTGGTGAAGTTTTTCTAAAATTGAGCCGACACCAAAGCAAACAAACATCCCACTTGTTGTGTCTAATACGCCGTGAAGTTAATTTACGACAACGGACTCAATCCACAACAAGTCAGGAACCCAAATAAGAGTCCAAACAATCTCACCCCCATCAAAATCACCTAATCTAAAACTGGCTGCATCTGAAAGACTGCCTACGTATCCTCTTGCCCAAGGAATCAAGCCGAACGTAGTTCACCCAAATGGCCACGAACGACCTCAATCCAATAGAAGAGTTCGCAACCCTCCTCCAATATCATCAATTCTGTGACTGATAGCACCTCCAATGGCCTCAAAGTGTAACGAATCAAACACCTCCACCTGAGGTAAACCAATGGTCATATGCAAACTACATCTACTAGCTACACTCTAATCAAAACCTAACTCATCATCTACATATAAAACCAATTGATCCCCAAGCTGTGTCACCTCAGTTTGAATCCCAAATAATACAGAATGATCCGGAGAATGTGGAGTAATCTCCACCCAATATGGAGTAGCATCACTCTCTACCCGCTGCGATACATCTAAGGTCTGTCCAAAACTCTCCACCTACTGAGAGTCAATTAGCTCCCTCATTGAAGCCTCAACCGAAGAGACACTACCAGACCAAACACCCAATTGAGTTTTACCTCCTATTACAGCAGTTGACAACTCTTTAATAAGATGGCTCGAATATGTCGAAGTTTCAGTCCATAAACTCTTCTGCAGACCATTGCTTGACAACAAACACCGATCCTCCTCCAGCAAGGCACGACTCTCTAAATTTTCCACCCTATCTAGTTGCTCCAAGATTTTCTTTCCAACGAAGTGTTTCGAAATGCCGTGAGCTCGGCTCCAATACAGAAACAGGTCCATCTTGTACCTCCTACCAAAACCAGAATGAAGTACCTTCACCTTTCTGCCAATCTCATACTTCTTCAATCTGTTAGAGACTACTAGGACTTTCTCCAATAGGAATTTGGTTGTAACCCAAACACGCCTAGAACAGCCACCAACAAAGGAAACCAAACATCTATTACCTCTCAATGATGCCCCCTTGGAAGGCCCCCAAACATCCACATGAACACCTCCAGAACGACCCTTAGCACGGTGAATAGAGATGTCAAACTTCACCTCGGTCTTCTTGCTCACATCAACATGTTCACCGGACTTCAAACTGCAGGTCTTCGCATCCTCTTTCAATCTTTGCAAGGAATTAATACTGGAATGACCAAGCCCCAAATGTCGCAGTCTAGTCGAATCAATAGAAGTCGCCACTTCTCTACCTGCTACTATACCTCTAGTCAAGTAATACAGGTTATTCCTTCTGACGCCCTTCATCACAATCTGAGAGTCTTCCACAATCTTGAGAATCATGTCCTCAATTCGAACATTCAGACCCTCTCCAACCAAAGCTCCAATCGAGATCAAGTTCTTCCTCAAGGAAGGAACATATCTCACATCATATAACTCCCTAACAGTCCCGTCAAACATCTTGACGTGAATTCTTCCTATCCCAAGGACCTGGCATGCACGGTTATCAGCCATGTACACCACACCACTATCCAGCTTCTCAAAACCGGAGAACTATTCCCTTCTAGAGCATACATGATAGGTCGCACCACTATCCAACATCCATTCAGATTCCTCCGGATAGCTATCTGTAGGACTGATAGAAAGCGAATAAATAGAAGAGTCAGAAATATTACCATCCGATATAACGATGTTTGCTTCTGATAATGGTTGCTTTCCTTTTCCCTTCTGCTTATTCTTCATCCATTCGTCGAGCTTTAGACGGTCTTTCTTCCAATGATCAGTCTCCTTGCACCAAGCACACTGATCTTTTCTAATTGTAGGATGTCCTACTCTAGACTGTGACTTTTAATTCTTCCGGTTTGGACCCTTCCCTCTTGCGGCCAACGCCTCTGCTACCGACTTAACTGAAGCCTCCTTATCCTTCTTTCGAAGCTGATAATTCACAAGTGCAGCAGTCACCTCACTATACGAAAGAGATTTCTTCCCATTAATCAGAGTAAGAACGAAGGTCTCATATTTCTCGTCGGGCAAGGAACTCAACAATAGCAACGTCTTGTCCTTATCTTCAATTATGACATCCGTATTCGCCAAATCCGTAAGAAGTTTTGTGTAGGTGTTCATGTGATCACTAATTGAGGTTTCCTTCTTCAACTATAAACGATAAAGTCTCCTCTTCAAATGCAAGCGGTTCTCAACACTCTTTGTCAGATACTTACTTTTGAGAATCTCCCAAATCTTCTTCGCAGAAGTCTCATTCATCACATCATATTTTAGATCTTGAGTCAAACAAGACCTAATCACACCATACGCCGTTCGATTCATCTTCTTCCAAATATTCTCTTCGATATCATCTGGCTTGCCATCTAACTCCAAGGTATCCTCTAAATTCTGCGTGTTCAGCGCATCCAAAACCTCACATCTCCATAATCTAAAGTTGTTTGTGTCATTAAACTTCTCTACATCTATCTTCATATAGTGGATATTCAAACTCCGAATGGTCTTCGTGCCAGAAGCACCACCCTCGACACCCGAAGCACCTTCTTTTCCCGACATCTTACTCAACGCACCAACGAACGAAGAATAGATCCAAAACTGAAAAGATAGAGTCTTTACCAAAAGATCCCACCTTTATCACCAAACAAAGTCCTAGACGAGCTTTCAAATCGATCTACTCCTCTAACCAAAATAGAAAACCCTAGATCTGAATTTGGGCTCTGATACCACTTGTTATGTGCAGCGAAAATTTCGGCAGAGTTTCTGGTGCACAATAAGAGAGAAAGATCGCAATAAGAATTTCTGTCTCACCAAGGAAACAAGAATCTAAAGCGAATATCTCAACAAAGTGAGATATTAGCTCTTCCTCTCATCAGTTCTAGGACTGACCTGTCAAGGGAACCTAATAAACTATTACAATGGCCACAAATAACAAATCACATAAGTTTTACGTGGTTTGGCAAATTGCCTACGTCCACGGGGCAAGGAGGAGGGAGATCTACTATTTGAGAGAGAGAATACAAATAGGGTTTACAATCACACAAATTAAACCATTACACAAACTCTCAAATCTCACACAAACGGATGCTGAAAAACTCTCTCAAATCCAAGACCAAAGACTACGTTCACAAAAGCCTTGCCACCCCTTGCACACGCGTTCTCCCCTGCTACCTCGCACGAAGCCAATGAAGAGAGACAGCCGCAATT